ATTTCCCTCCTGGACTGGTACGATCTGAAGAAGGAACTTATTCTGGTGTTGGAGAGACCAGTGCCCGCAGTGGACCTCTCAAAATACATTGAAAAGAACAAAAAGCCTCTGGATGAAAATCAAGCTAAGATCATTATAAAACAGCTGGTTCATGCTGCTAAACATCTGGAGGACAACAAGATTTTCCACAGAGACATCAAACCACAAAACATCCTGATTGAAACTGGATCAGGAATGCCACGACTTCGCCTTATTGACTTTGGGCTGAGTTGCTTTACCGACCAAACATCAGACGGCTGCTTCTACGGCACAGAGAGATTCGTTCCAGCTGAGTGGCTGTCCGAAGGCGTTTACAACGCCGGACCAGCAACCGTGTGGCAGGTTGGAGCGGTTCTGTACGAAACACTCCACAAGAAAGAGTTCAACTCTGTTAAGTTTGTCAAAAACAAACGAACAATTAGCAAGCGGCTCTCCAGAGACTGTAGGAGTTTCCTAAAGAGATGTCTGACAAAGAACTCGGGGTGTCGCCCCACCTTAGAGAAGCTCCAGCATCACCCTTGGATCTGTGAAAACACAGGAAGCGTCCGGTAGCTTCAGTACACACGTCCGTGAATTTAGTTCAACTCTTTATTCACGGTTCAAGAACCGTTTAAAACAAAACTCAAAAAAACTCAAAACATCTTCAAACACAGAACAAAACCCGTCTGATCTGAGATCCCTTAGCAAACGCAGATATGAACAGCTAGCGAGTTACAGACGACTTTCCTTTGCAGACACGTTAAGAAAATATGCCTTGAGTTTTAATCTGGAAAGCCGTCACGTCAGATTAAGCCCCTTAGATAAGACCCTTGCAGATCTATGAACGCCAGCGGTGCGATGGAATAAAACAGGACAAAGCGTTCTTTAATCGGGTCAAGCGTGTGACAGAGTGTGGCTCTGGGATCTTTAACTGCAGGAACAAACGAACACTCATTTAGCACGAGTCAAGTTAGCCATCTCTTCATAATCTGTGGCGGACGAGTGTCTATTAGAGAAACTTTGGCCCCACGCTTGCCTAAAGTAAGCAGGGACCTGACCAGAGACCAGAGAAGCATTAATTATAGAGAACACACTGGGACCGATGGACTGAAAAGCACTTTTAAACAAAGATGAGGGTAAGATGTCGAGGGGGCATGCAGTGGTCTTCATAGAGTTAACTAGTTTGGTTAACTCGGGCAAAGAAACAGGAGCAAAGCTTTCTAGGATGATGGGCCTGGTTGGAGTCGGGAGAGGCAGCGATAAGGCTGAAGGAGAGATGCTAGATCTAACCTTATTGACTTTGTCCACAAAGAAAGACAGAAAGTTCTCACAGTCTGTAACAGAGTGGATGGAGGCTGTAGGAGAGGCAGGAGAGACGATGCTGCTGATGGTGTTAAACATCACCTTGGGGTTCCCTTTGCTCTGGGACACCAGGTTGGAGAAATAGGAAACCCTAGCGTCTCTGACTGCAGAGTTAAAGGATGACAGAAGATCCTTTAGGTGCAGCAGATGGACGTGGAGATGGGTTTTCTTCCACAAACGCTCAATTTTTCTGCACTGGCGCTTCAGGCTGCGAAGGCTGTCAGTAAACCAGGGAGTAGGGTTCACTGCAGGAACTGATCTGGTTCTGACAGGACAGATGTTGTCCAGAATGGAGAGGCAGTGCTCGTTAAACTGAGAAGTTAAGGAGTCTGGGTCGTTATCAGAAGAACAGGGTGGATCAAAAGCAGTGGAAAAATTGCTAGCTGTGCTCTCATTAAGAAAACGATAACTAACCATACGGCGAGCAGGAGGTGGGGACGCAGAAACTGACAAGTAAAAGAAAATGCAATGGTGATCTGAAGTATAAACGTCCTCAGGACAAACACTGTCAGCATTTATACTCTGGGTAAAAACAAGGTATAGAGTGTGCCCCCTGGTGTGTGTGGGGCCAGAAACATGCTGGGTAAAGACGAAGGAGTCCATAAGGCTGGAGAAATTCATGGCAAAGTGATCGGAGGGATCATCAACGTGGATGCTAAAATCACCAACAATCACCAGTCTGGACAGCTTCACAGTGGGGGATAGAAAGTCACTAAACTCCTGAAGGAAAGCACTGTTTGGACCAGGTGGACGATAGACCACAGCACAGTAGAACGGGTCCTACTGTGTGACAAGAGGTTGTAGAGCTACATGGAAGATGGTGTCTGAAAACAACAGCTAGGCCTCCTCCACGACCAGAACCCTGGGCTGGCTAAGAAAAGAATAGCGGGAATGGCGGGAATGCGGAAGTGGCGCTCAGGTCACCAAACAAAGGACAAGAAGCTAGAAGATCACGCCGATGTTTACTAGATAAACCACGCTTTACGAGAAGTCTTATTCTCACCTGGATTCCTGCTCGTTTACCTCTTTTCCTCCAACGTTTTCCCGGGACCGGACAAACAGCTGGAGGTGCGTAGCTAGTGATCGTCGTTCGGCTCCGGGCCAGTGAGCCGCTCGGTAAACAAACAGGATGGTATGTCCTCAGTGCATCTTGGGCAATCGTGAACGAACGGAAGGACAGAAGAGTCTGGCGATCATAGGAGATGGCAGCAGGGACACTACTGAAGAGGATCGCAGACAGGAGCAAGGTGGAAAAGAGGAGGTTAGTGGAGAAAAGTTTGAAAAAGTGGCCGGCGACGCGCTGTGCCAGACCGTTGCTGTCCGATGCCAGCGGTAAAACGTAGATTTCACCAAATTATGACCTTTACCCTCTTGCTATTTACCCTTCCCCTCACCCCCATCCTAAACTTAACCACAAGGCTTTGCTTCGCGTTTCATCGTTCCTCGCAAACACGCTTAATGGAAATTTAGACTTACATTCTGGGTTAAGGTTAGGATGGGGGGAGGGTTAAATCGCTACAGGGGCTCCCTACGAGTCGGGAACAAACGCTTGGTCACACCGCGTCATTTTTCCACCCTTAGGGTGTGAGAATGTGTTGGTTGAACACAAGGAGCTGAGACCAGTGCCTACCTCTTTATTCTTAACAGTGGAACAGCACAATGGTCCCATTCCTTCAAAAGCCCTCCTCACTTATGGTGCCACCATTACGCAACAACTAACTGCACCTTTGCAACACTGAACGAAGCAATATTCTATATAATTTTTCTTTCGGGACGTTAATGCAGCTCGAACGGCAGTGTGTACCCCCACAAGTTATATTTCAAAACGAGTGGCTCGGCCGTAGGAGGTGTCCTATTAATTTTATAAGCCACCTGATTTACCATGGTGAAAATTTTTTCAAAAAACTTTGACATTTTTCTCATTTTGGGTGTGTGCATGCCTCAATCTGCCTAGCCAGTTAACAGTCCTGTGTACGTGTGAAGCCACTTCCTCTTCACTGGAGAAAATGATCTCTTGATTAGGAGCGTGCATCATCACTAATGTCACATCAAACGCCTGGCTCAGCCATGGGAAAAGTGGGATGTCATGATTTTGGGTTGTTCACCCAAATGTCATGATTTTGGGGTGATTACACTAGACAGAAATGTTGCAGTAACTAGTCGTTTTTTTGCCTCAAAAGAAAAATACAGTTTTTTCAAAAAAAGAAACCCAGTTTTAGTTTCTTCCATCGACATATACACTGGGCAATTCGTGTCCATAGGCTCCAATTATAAGTTTTTGTGCTAAAGTTGGAGGTTCCCACCACCGCCATTTTGATCGTGTCACAGATTCCGTCAAGCCCAGACAATTCCAAAATAGAGAAAAGAGGTGGAGCTGAGGGTGGGGCTGTAAGGCTTCTCTTAAAGCGTGGTTTATCTGACAAAGAATGGAGCGAATTACTGTCCAGAGCTAGGGTGGCGGAAACGACGGAGGGAACTGATTCTGTACTGAGGTTAGAGGAATGGCTGGATGATTCTGTCATGTTGTGGTGTAGATGTCTAACCCACGACATACGGAATCAGCTTGAGACGAGGAAAGTGTTTAAATAAGAATTTATTAAAAGGGAAACCAAGGAAGCAGCTTGAACGTAGCTGAGTTCTTTCATAAAGGGAGACGGTGCGGGAAATCTGTGGACAGATGGGAGTTAGATCCAACTCGAGGGGGAAAACAAGGAATCTGAATTGTGTGGAGGACTTAAGGTCTGGAGAGGGGGGAAAGTAGCTCGAGGGAGGAGTGGTCCGGTCTGGGCTGAGAGGGGATTCCTGAGACTGAGATCCAGAAGGGGAGACGTGGAGGGAGCTGAGTTTGCTGAGATCCAGGGAGCTTAGGTGGGCAGCTGGAGGTGGTTCTGGCCAGGGAGAAGCTGAGAGACAAGCAGGTTGGAGTTCCAGAGAATAGCCAGTCGGGGATGAAGGTGGAGGTTTGATCTGGTGAACGAGAGCAGGAAGGGTAAAATGCAAAATCCAAAACACATCTAAAATCTCAAAGGTCCTAAGAGCTCGAAAATACTGTGAAGAGGTGGCTTAGAAGGTACCCAGGTAGAGTAATCATCCAGCGAAGTGTAGGAGTCTCTCAGCTGCTTAAATACCCCTGGCCAGCTGATGAGCAGATCTGCTGCAGCTTGGTCAACCTCCAGACACGCCCACCTGCAGAGGGAGAACTCAAAAGACAGGGAGTGACAGCAGGAATACACCTCAGACCGTGACATTCCCATGCCATCTTAGTTCAGTTCTCTACAGTTCTCTACAGTTCACTGCATGCTAAGAGAAGTATCGGAGCGGCCATCCGGACATCCTTTTCAAGCAAAGAACCAACAAGCTGGATAAAATCTGTTGCATTTTACCAACCAACCAACTGTTCCTTTCGGAATAAAAGCTGAACTCACTGACCCAAGGGGGTCCCTTTTGACGCTGTGAACCATCTGTCACTTTTTACCTGGAGACAATCCAAAGACTAGTCTGTCGTATTGCTGACGCTGTTTCACCGGCTCCGGTACCGAAAGGGGGGTTCGAGGACCTGGCATTCTGGATCTGTACGGAGGACAATAAGGCGTCTCATCTGTTTATGAAACTCCGATCAAACTCTGATCATAGCTAAAAGCAAAACATCTCAACATCATTCAGACTTGCTTCTCCGGATACGAGAGTTCTGATTACATCACTCACACATATACCATCCATCTCACATCTCATTCACTTACCAGATCCATTCATCATCAGTTAGAGTCAGTCTTGTTTAAAATTGTTAAAATTGTTTAAAAATAAATCTTCTTAAACGTTTTAAAGGTGACTCTCTCTTCTATTGCCTCTCACTTAATACAAGTGTTACATAATCCCTGCAATAAAAAGTTCCAATCTTCTGGTTAAAATAACCCAACGGTCCGTAAGGTTGATTTCATATTTACATGGAATCTTACGTCTTACGGGTCCTTAATTAGATGTAAAGTAACTTCTTTTACATAGATATTTCGTCTACAAACTCTTCACTGTTATCATCATCAGTCTTTTTGAATTATTTCTCCAACATTATTTTTGCAACAAGAATCTCAGTGGAAAGTTTGTCATTTCCTGTCATTTTCTGCAGAGGACTCCTTGAACCGTCACCTTATCGTGGTGGAGGAGTTTGAGTGCCCTAATGATCCTAGGAGCTATGTTGTCTGGGGCACTTAGTGCCCCTGGTAGGGTCTCCCATGACAAATTGGTCTTAGGTGAAGGGTGAGACAAAGAACGGTTCGAAGGATCTTTCATGGCGGTTAAAACGAAGAGTCGGAGTACCCGGCCCGGAGGGTTACCGGGGTCCCACCCTGGAGCCAGGCCTGGGGTTAGGGCCCGTGAGCGAGCGCCTGGTGGCCGGGCTTTCGCCCAGGGGGCCCGGCCGGGCCCAGCCCGAACCGGATACATGGGCTCGTCCAACTGTGGACCCACCACCCGCAGGAGGAACATGAAGGGTCCGGTGCAATGCGAATCGGGTGGCAGACCAAGGCGGGAGCCTTGGCGGTCCAATCCCCGGACAAGAAAACTAGTTTTTGGGACATGGAACGTCACCTCGCTGGCGGGGAAGGAGCCGGAGCTTGTGGCAGAGGTTGAGCGGTACCGGCTAGATATAGTCGGACTCACCTCGACACATTGCATTGGCTCTGGAACCCGAGACCTGGAGAGGGGTTGGACACTCTACTTTGCTGAAGTTGCTCCGGGTGAGAGGCGGAGGGCTGGGGTTGGCTTTTTGTTAGCCCCGAGACTCTCTGCCTGTGTGTTGGGGTTTACCCCGGGGGACAAGAGGGTAGCTTCCTTGCGCCTTTGGGTCGGGGAACGGGTCCTGACTGTTGTTTGTGCTTATGGGCCAAATATCAGTTCAGAGTACCCACCCTTTTTGGAGTCCCTGGGACGAGTGCTAGATAGTGCTCCATCAGGGGACTCCATTGTCCTGCTGGGGGACTTCAATGCTCACGTGGGCAATGACAGCTTGACCTGGAGGGGTGTGATTGGGAGGAACGGCCCACCTAATCTGAACTCGAGCGGTGTTTTGTTATTGGACTTCTGTGCAAGCCACAGTTTGGCCATAACGAACACCATGTTCGAACATAAGGATGCCCACCGGTACACTTGGTACCAGGGCAGCCTAGGTCACAGGTCGATGATAGATTTTGTAGTCGTATCATCTGACCTGCGGCCGTATGTTTTGGACACCCGAGGGAAGAGAGGGGCGGAGCTGTCAACTGATCACCACCTGGTGGTGAGTTGGATCAGATGGCAAGGGAACATGCCGCGTAGACCTGGCAGACCCAAACGCATAGTGAGGGTCTGCTGGGAACGCCTGGTAGAAGAACCTGTCAAGACGGTCTTCAACTCCCACCTCCGGCAGAGCTTTGACCACGTCCCGAGAGCAGTGGGGGACATTGAGTCCGAGTGGGCCTTGTTCCACTCTGCGATTGTCGAGGCGGCTGTTGCTAGCTGTGGTCGTAAGGTGGCCGGTGCCAGTCGTGGTGGCAACCCCCGTACCCGCTGGTGGACACCAGAGGTTCGGGGAGCCGTCAGGCTGAAGAAGGAGGCCTACAGGGCGTGGCTGGTCTGTGGGTCTCCGGAGGCAGCAGACAGGTACCGGATAGCCAAGCGGGGTGCAGCAGTGGCAGTTGCCGAGGCAAAATCTCGGGCGTGGGAGGAGTTTGGTGAGGCCATGGAGAAAGACTATCGATCGGCTCCAAAGAGGTTCTGGCAAACTGTCCGGCGCCTCAGGAGAGGAAGGCAGCAACTCGCTCACACTGTTTACAGTGGGGATGGGGAGCTGCTGACGTCAACTGAAGCTATAGTCGGACGGTGGAAGGAATACTTTGAGGAGCTCCTCAATCCCACCAATGCGCATTCCGAGGAGGAACCAGAGCTGGGAGGCCTGGGGATGGACTGTCCGATCTCGGGGGCAGAAGTTGCTGAGGTAGTCAAACAACTACACAGCGGCAGAGCCCCGGGGACGGATGAGGTTCGTCCTGGGTATCTCAAGGCTATGGATGTTGTAGGGCTGTCATGGTTGACACGTCTCTACAACATTGCGTGGTCATCGGGGGCAGTTCCTAGGGAGTGGCAGACCAGGGTGGTGGTCCCCATCTTTAAGAAGGGTGACCTGAGGGTGTGTTCCAACTATAGGGGGATCACACTCCTCAGCCTCCCTGGAAAGGTCTACTCCAAGGTACTGGAGAGGAGGGTCCGATCGATAGTTGAATCTCAGATAGAGGAGGAGCAATGTGATTTTCGTCCTGGCCGTGGAACTGTGCACCAACTCTATACCCTTGCAAGGGTGATGGAGGGAGCATGGGAGTTTGCCCAACCAATCCACATGTGCTTTGTGGATTTGGAGAAGGCTTATGACCGTGTCCCCAGGGGCACCCTGTGGGGGACGCTCCAGGAGTATGGGGTGGGTGGCTTTCTGTTAAGGGCCATTCAGTCCCTTTACCAGAGGAGCGTGAGTTTGGTCCGCATAGCCGGTAGTAAGTCGGACCTGTTCCCAGTGAGGGTTGGACTCCGCCAGGGCTGCCCTTTGTCACCGGTTCTGTTCATCACTTTTATGGACAGAATTTCTAGACACAGCCGTGGTGTGGAGTGTGCCGAGTTTGGTGGCAGGAGAATCTCGTCTCTGCTTTTTGCGGATGATGTGGTCCTCCTAGCTTCATCCAGCTCTGACCTTCAGCTCTTGCTGGGTAGGTTCGTGGCCGAATGTGAAGCGGCTGGGATGAGGATCAGCACCTCCAAATCTGAGACCATGGTTCTCGACCGGAAAAGAGTGGCTTGCCACCTCCGGGTCGGGGGAGAGGTCCTACCTCAAGTGGAGGAGTTTAAGTATCTCGGGGTCTTGTTCACGAGTGAGGGTAGGAGGGATCGGGAGATCGACAGGCGGATTGGTTCGGCGTCTGCAGTGATGCGGACGCTGAGCCGATCTGTCGTGGGGAAGAGGGAGCTGAGCCAGAAAGCCAGGCTCTCGATTTACCGGTCGATCTACGTCCCAATCCTCACCTATGGTCATGAGCTTTGGGTAATGACCGAAAGAACGAGATCGCGGATACAAGCGGCCGAAATGAGTTTCCTCCGTAGGGTGGCCGGGCTCAGCCTTAGAGATAGGGTGAGGAGCTCGGACATTTGGGAGGGACTCGGAGTAGAACCGCTGCTCCTCCGGATCGAAAGGAGCCAGTTGAGGTGGTTTGGGCATCTGGTCAGGATGCCTCCTGGACGCCTCCCCGGGGAGGTGTTTCGGGCATGTCCTGCCGGCAGAAGGCCCCCGGGTCGACCCAGGACACGTTGGAGAGGTTACATCTCCAATCTGGTCCGGGAACGCCTTGGGGTCCTGCCGGAGGAGCTGGTGGACAAGGCCGGGGAGAGGACGGCCTGGAGCTCCCTAGTTGGGATGCTGCCCCCGCGACCCGGACCCGGATAAGCGGAGGAAGACGACGACGACGACGGACTTAACATGTCAGGAACCAGAAGAGAGGGAGACTGAGGTTGAAGGCAGTTAACTGCTTTCATGAGATTAGGATTGCTTTTGGAGAATCTTGTCTCCATCTCTACAATGACTATGTCCAAAATGTTGAGAAGAGCTCTCTTCAGAGCCTGGCTAGGAGTTGTGGAGTCTTCTGCGTGACCCACAGTGGACATTACAACACTACCTGTTAGCAGTGAGCTTGTTATTTTTTGTCTTTTAGCAGCTGGTGCAGGTGTGCTGGTTAATGCCTCACTTTCCTCATCTCTCATCTGCTTCAAAGCCTGCAGAGATGCACTGACTACTTCTGAAGCACAGCACAGGTCAACAGAATGAAACTGCAGCATGGTGGCGCAGTGGTTAGCACTGTTGCCTCGCAGCACGAAGGTTGCAGGTTCGAAACTCGGCTGTGGCCTTTCTGCGTGGAGTTGCGTGTTCTCCCCATGCATGCGTGGTTTTCCTCTGGGTACTCCGGTTTCCCCCACAGATCGCAACATGCCCTATAGGTTATAAATTGTAAGTCGCTTTGGATAAAAGCGTCTGCTAAATAAATAAACATAAACATCATGGTGGCTTGTCCACCTGATCTCCAACAGTCATTTCAGGGAGGTAACATCATAGTTCTGTGAAACATAATGACGGTGAAAAAATGAGTGTAGAGATCCTGAAAGATCAAAAAAGGTTTTTGCACATGGCTCTGCCTGCATTACATGGACCACTGCCAAGTGCAGCTGGTGGTTGTAGCAGTGGATGTAGGGAAAATCCTTCCCTACCTTCTTCTGCAGTAAGGCCTGAACCCCACCCCTGACCCACTCATGACAGAAGCTCCAACATAGCACTGACCGATCATTTCAGCTGCTCTATAGCCTGAGTCAGAGAGATGCTCAAGGGTTTGGGTGGTAATGAATTCAGCATTTAACTGACTGAGGTCAAGCAGACCGATCAGGTGTTCCTCTGGAATGCCGTTACAGACAAATCAAACCATGACTGACTGATTCTCCACATCTGTCCCTAGTTCCATCACTTTTAATAAAAAAAAACAACCCAATCTGCTTTGTCATAATTATCTTTGATCTTTTTTAATACCATTTTTGCCAGTGTTGCAATAATTTTGTATGTTGTGAGATGTGTATTTTGCATTTTCTGGGATGTGTTTGTTTATTTCATTAAATTTGGAGTCTTTGGCCAGTGTGTGGTCGACCATTTTTAACAATAGTCCTGCAGAGAAATCATCACCACTGGAGCTTTCCACACT